TTAGGGTTGAGGGTTTTAGGGTTTCAGGGTTTAGGGTTTAGGGTTGAGGGCTCTCATCCAGCAGGACTGGAAGCACTACATCCGCACAGGCACATGAAAGGCTGGGGCTGGGGTCTTGGCAACGAAGTTGACAAAGCAAAGACTTATCACATCTATGTGTACTTCAGGCATCCTTGCGGCAGAACTTGCAGTGATTGTCTGCATGTGCCATGCGGTCGTGGGATGCGGGCCTCTGGCTGGCAATGCCCAGTTCTAGGGTCTAGGGTTCACACGGTCTAGATTTCCAGGTGAGCTTCAGATCCAACCCACGACAAAACGCACTATCGTGGTTGGCAGATGCCCACGGCCTCCTCGAAACTCTCAAGCGGTACATGTGCGGCAATCCTCAAGGCAAATCCAAATGACACAATTACCTCCTTTTGACCATCACTAAGGAGAGCATCCAGAACAGCCGGTTCTGCAAGCATCTGGGAGAGCTCCTAGGCAAAGAGAGTCTCCCCCGCGGTGGAAGTGGGGCATGAAATATGGACTTGTGCAGTGCGCGTCGCAGTTGATCTGTTTGCCTTGACGGGGCTCTTCCCATAGCCAGCTCCCCTGTTTGTCAAAGACCGTACCGTAGCAAGGGGAGATGCCGGCACCCTAGTTTCACAGGTGAAGGCGACCACGCTGTAGATCCCACCAGGTTAGTAGAAGTCCACACTGTAGGAACGCATACAGTTGATGCCTTGGACATACTCAGGATGTGCTAACAGGCCTCCAACAGACGGCATTCCTTACTAGGATAGGTTCTCGGTACAAAACCGTGTGAGTGAGAGAAAATGCATAGAGATAATATGTGTTTGTATATATAAATATATGTATATTACACACGTACATACATACATGCGTACATGCATACATGCATACACGCATACATGCATACATGCATACATGCATACATGCATACATGCTTACATGCTTACATGCATACATGCATACGGGCATACATGCATACATGCATACATGCATACATGCATACATACATACATGCATACATACATACATGTATATATATATATATATACATGTATGCATATATATATATACACATCATACACATATATATATATATATATATGTATATATATATATATATGCATACACACACACACGTACATGTTCTGCATGTACTCTGCGAACGACTGAAGTTTTCGGTTCAAATGTCGAGGGCCCTTGTGGCTTCGTCAGCGACCACGTCCGGCCTCTCCCTCTTGTTCCATTTCGCTCGTTACCTTTCGTCCTCTCCGTCTGCTCCGGTCCCTGAGTCTCCTTTTCCGATACCTGAACTTTGTCCGGCTGGGAACTCAGGCGAGATCGAGAGCTTGCATTGGCCATCGGTTGGCGTGGGGATTCTTATCGGTTTCCTCTTGATTCCCCTTGCGGAGGCGATAATATCTGCTCGGCTTCTTGCATTCCGATCGCTCTTGAGACGTTTGGGCTATCAGGACAGGGAGCCCCTATATCGTCTTCTTTAGGGGTGCATGAGCATCGGCCGAGCCGAGTTCGAGCTTCTTCGTGCTGAAGTTCTTTCGCTCCAGGCCGAGGTTGCGAAGCTGCGTGCTCGGGTGATAGAGCTGGAGGAGGAGAAGTTTGAGCTGGTGGAAAGCCCGGGTGTTCGAGAGGCTGGCAACCAGGGGTCTGCTGCTTCTTCGGGCCCTTCTTCGGGAAGTTCGGCGGTCAGCCGAGAGGAGGTGTGCAGACGAGTGGGGCAATTCTTGAGGAGGAGCTTGGAGGGACAGCATCGCGGGGCATCGTCTCGCGACTTGTTGCCATTGGCTTCGAGGCTGTGGATTGTGATTCGCACCTTCGAGGGCGTTGTCTTCGACCCCCCTCGGGTTTTTACAAGGTTCGGTGCCTGCAAGTCTTTGGTTAAGCGAGGGGGCGACGCGGGGGAGAGTGTCTTCGTTGGCCTGCCGGCCCAGAACGACGTGATCGAGTGCTTGCAGGCCGGGGGGTTTAAACAGCCCTCCTCCTACGAGGGATGAGTGCCGCTGAAGAGGGCGAGGGGGTCGACGGCCGCACCTTCTTCGTCTTCGACAACGACACAGCCGACGAGGAGTACTTAGTGGGCGCCTTGACGGTGCCAGGCGGTGCCGACGGCGAGGCCGAGATCTTCGAGGTGATCTTTGTTTGTGCTGTGGAGGAAAGGACCTTGGTCGCTTTGCCCCAGCCGGCCTGGAACAGACGGGCTGAGAATCGGAAGCTTCCCCCGGGAGCCTTGGTCAGAGCTACTGCGGCTGAGGTGGCCGCTGCCGCTAGGGGCTCCCGTGCAGAGAGGGCCGACGGCTATCGTATCAAGATATGGCTGGGCTACTTGGAGGAGCAGATGGCGGCTTCCGTGAGCTTCTCCGGCGAAGAGGCCCCGACCGTTCTCTTCTTGGCCGTGGGCGGCGATGCTGGATATCTTCCTCTTGGAGAAGCGCTGGTCGAGGTGGCGAAGGACAAGTTCCAGTTCATGACGGCGGAGAGCGGGGACCCGCGGTCTCGCGTGGCACCGGCTCCTTTGGCTGGAGACTCGCGCCTGGATTCCATGCGGGCCCTGAGCGAGGCTCACTTGACATCACGGCCCGGGCCCTCGGGAGCTACAGCTCGGCCGGCCCCAGCTCAGCCCCTCGTTTGAGGAGGAGCGCCGCCTGCACCTACGAGCCGAGCGGCGACACAGCAGAAGGGCTATGCAGGCCTGGACCCCGGGTGGTGCAGTCCGCCCTGGCTGCCGGCGTGGAGCCCAAGGCCCTGGAGGAGATGGCCAATTTGCTGGCGGCGAACCCCGCCCGCCGCCTCACAAAGACGAAGGAGACTCGGGTCCGAACAGACCCGCTGGAGGAGAGCGACGAGGATGCTGTCCCCCTTCCTGTTGCCGACGAGCCTGGGTCGGGAGGCATTGGCGCGGTTCCACCTCCGGATCCGGTGGCTGCCGCCTTGGTGAAGCTCACGGCCTTAGTTGCGGACATGCACCAGACCAAGGCGACACGCGGCAGCAAGCTGGATCAAGCTTTGGACGGTGCCGCTTTTGGCAGCGGCGGCGGCGACGGCGGGGGCGTGTCTTCTCGAAAGAATTCGGTTGCCCGCCGGGCTTTGAGACAGGCCCTTCACGACTCCCCCGAGGAGATCTACCACGTTGTGGAGAAGCTCATGCTGGAGGACTTGATGTCGACGACGCTGAGCCCAGGCATGCCGAGGCCGACTTTGAGTGCAAGGGCGTGGCTGGAGAACAGATCGCGTTTGACAAACTACCAAGCAGCGGTCCGCACATCGTGGGGGGTCGGGGGAATCCTCGACTGCCTGATCCAGGGCAGGGAGAAAGAAGCTCGGGCCAGGGCTTGCCTTATGTTGGTGCAGGCCGACCAGGTTGCGCTGGACAAGGGAGCATGGACGTTGGCTGCAGAAGCGAGCCTGGAGATGCCGCCGCCGTTCCACTCTTTCGCGGCGCATTCTCAGGCCGATGTGGTGGAGCAGCCCCTGAGCCG